TCTTAGTAACTTTCAAATATACAACACAGTATTGTCAACTATAGTCACCAGGCTGTACATTCCCTGGAACTTACTTATTGATTTATTTATTTATCTATTTATTTATTGAGGTATAGTTGATTTGCATCTATAACTTTTAAGTATTTAAAATATGGTAGGTGGTCCTCAATAATACTCTCTCTGGTGCCCAACAAACATGAAGAGCAAACCGGGTGGAGGTTATCCCAGTTCCCTCTGGACTCCCTCCTCAACTCCATCTCTGATGAATTAGCCAGCCTTAATCAGATAACAAAGTTAAGGAGAGAAATAGTCAGATTCTACCTAAGAGCAGGTTCTTGACCCATCCCTACTATAACCTGGCAGGAATTCTATATTGTAATTCCTGGATCACAGGATTACTAATTCCTGTAATACAGGAGTAATTAATCCAAGCTTGCTATACTCCACTTACTGTTCTAAACCCTTTACAAGTATTAATTCATTTGTTCCTTCCAGCAACCTGTGAAATAGCATTATTACTATCTTTATTTTATAAATAAGAAATATAAACATAGAGAGGTTAGGAAACATATCCAAGGACACCCAGCTAGTAAGTGGCAGAGCTAGGGTTTGACCCAGTCTAGCCTTAAAAATCCTCCTCTTAACAATTATGCTGTAACCCACTCAAATAAGGTAATATTTACTGAGCACTCCCTGTGTACCAGACCTTGTGCTATTGCTAATACTATGAGGTTGGTACTATTATTTCTCCATTTTACAGGTGGGGAAACTGTACTTCAGGAAGATTAAGAAACCATCCAACAGTACACTCCTAACAAGCCATGTTGGTGGATTTGAACACGGGTAATCTGGTTTCAAGCACATGCTCTTCACTAGACCAATTCTGTTTGCTCAATATCCTTCCTTGAAGGAGAACACACAGGTGGCCAGGGGAGCCTGGACATATTATTGGGTCAGAGTGTGACAGTTGCCACAGAGGAAATTGATCTATGCTCAGTGAAGAAATGGGCTGTTTTGAGTAATAAAGCAATTTGAGGAAGTTAAATGGATTAAGATTACAGGTTGTGTTTCACATTGGGAAATACACTTGCATTTTTAGTTCCTGTGGCTTGATATGAAATCTCAGAGTGAATCATTACATTCTGACTTTAAGCATGTCTTCAGTCCTGGTAAGGGTGACTTACTCCTTAGGAATTTATGAGCTATTTGAAGCAGGTAGGATCTAAAGCAGCCTAACCCTTGGACCTGTTTCAGTCTAATCCAACATGATCTGGGGTCTCTGATAATATGATAAAATTCCTCTACAAAAAAGAAATCTGACTGCGTAAAAGTTTGTTGACCAGGAGGCTTTCCCAATGACGGCACAGTTTTCCTGCTTTAGGACATTGCTCAAATCTTCACTGTATGATCAAAAGCTGGAAACATCATAATACGAAGCATACCTGAACACATATGTCTTCCCATCTCCAAAGATTCGTATCTAAAGCTTCTCTTAGAGCCAGTGGGGCAAAATGGATCAGAAAATGTCATCTTTCAGCCCCAACTCTGATGACCACAGCTCTCTGGCATGACCGCCTCAATGTTATTGCTGTAGTCAAGGACCCAACAGTTTCCCACGTCTTGGCTCCGGGTGGCTTTGAGTGTTTTCAGTCCTTTTGTCTAGTGCAAGGGTTTGTTTGCTGATCTTCATTGTCTTTGAAGATACTGTTTGGTTACGGGGGAAGGGCCTGCCTCAAGTAGGTTAAAATATAAACTCATAGTCAATGCGAAAAAGAGCTTTAGCTCAAGGGGAGATGCCTGCCTATGTGATTGATTTCTTGGGAAAGAGCCTGTATCTCAAAAAATATCAAATATATGTATGTATATGCATGACTAGGACATTGTGCTGTACACCAGAAATTGACACATTGTAACTGATGGTACTTCAATTAAATTAATTAATTTAATAAACCCATAATACAACCTCTGTCCTTATCCCCAGGGTCCTCCCCAGTTAGTGTCTGAGATTTCTTTTGCCACACTTTAATTTATTTAGCCAAACAAAGCTTTATCTGCATTCACATTTATAACAAGAATGTTCTCTGTCTCAGAAGGGACAGGTATCTAACTCAATTATATTCACATTACAAGTTCAGGATACCACAAGCTAGGTTAGGACAGTAGCTCTCAAGTTTTGCTATGCATCGGAATCACCTGAAAGGGTTTTTAAAACACAGATTTCTGGACCTCGCCCTGAGAGTTTCTAATTTAGTAAGTCTGGAGTTCGGCCGGAGAATGTGCATTTCTAATAAGTTCCTTGGTGATCCCAATGCTGCTGGGGTGTGAACCACACACTTTAAGAATCACTGGGCTGACGGTTCTCAAGCATTTTTCTTCACACTCACACACTGAGGGTAGGACACCGAGGATAGGACACTCTCCTGTCAGCACCAGAGGATCACTGGGGCAGTGATCCTGGCTGCACATTAAAAGCACACTGGAGCTTTGAAAAAACATCATTGAGGATTGTACTTCAGGCCAAAGCACTCAGAACACCTGGAGGTGAGCCCCCAGCCAGAGCATTTTGTTTTTAACTCCCCAGGTAATTTTAATGTGTAGCCAGGGTTGAGAACCCTTGCTAGCATGAGATCCTCTTGGGAGGTAGGAGGCAGAGATTCATACTCAATATACCCTTCCCCCAGGTATTGTTAATACATCTCCATGGGATATAATACCTTCTGCTTGTCTTGTAACCAGGTTGAAAATCACCAGCTAACAAGGTCCAGAAAGTGTGATCATGTGTATGGTCAGGCCACTCAAGATGGCTGTTTGCTTGCTTTTCATCCATCCCTTGCTTGACCATCCTTGCTTCACCTACACCTACTCACATGAATGTGCTTCCCCACCCCCCACCACTCCCCTGCCCCAGCGAGTGATTGTTCTAGTCCTTAGGCCAGAATGGCTCTGCCTGCTAGTTTATTAAAGGGAAACATCTGCCCTTGTGATGATTGTTAACCTGAGGGGCTGTGAGGGACGTGCCCCAGCTGCTGGTTTCCCTGGTAACTCATGAGCCAATAGTAGCCTCCTTCTTCCCCAAGCAGCGAAGGTTGTCATGTCGTGCTTGCTGTCTGCTGTACCCAGTGGGATGTCAGTCCAGGATCTGCTGCTGTGGACATGTAAGACCCCTGTCCAGCAAATTGATGTCTCTGTTGCTGTCTCCAGGTTCTATCTTCTCCAGGTTAGGCAACCACAGGCTTGGAGGCCTGTGAGGTATAGCCCAACATCAAGGCATTCCCAAAAGCTAAATGGTCAGGGTCATATACCAAGATCGTTTTGTGATTACTATTTTCCTTTTTTTCTGTAATTGATTAGGAGAAGGATAACTAGCAATTTGGGAGTAGTAGTAAGATAAAGGAGCTGGAATAAACATGATTGGTTCCTCCTTTTGGCCTTGTCTTCTGCCCTTCCTTTCACCCCTACACGCTCCTTCTGTACCTGCTGATACCTGGCCCAGGGGGAGGGCTGAACCCCACTGGCAGAGACCGATGACCTGGAGCATCCTGAGAACTTCTGATACCTGAGGCCTTTTGACACCAAGGATGTGGACCCCAGCAATAGGGGAGGTCTGAATGGTTATTACAATGAAGGCCCCTGGCTCCCAGACAGACTTGAAGCCAAAGCTGTGTGACCTCTTATACTAATTGGCTCATGATCAGGTGTTGCTAGAAATGACCCGGAAACCTACAGTTTTCATTCCAGTATTAACACTCCCTAAGTGATTAAGGGTAAGACACCTATCTTCCTGGAATCTCAAGTTTCCCCACATATACAATGAGGAAAACATGCTAATCTATGAGAAGTGTTGTGAGACCAACTAACATGCTCTTACATAATGCTAAAAACAAAAAAAGAAAAATGCTCACACCTCATCTGTATTCTTTGGATTAGAATATACTGCCATTTTCAACTTCAAAATATTTCTAGACACCTAATTCCACCTTTATAACACCCAGGAATTCTAGAGTTTGTAATTCTGTAACTATAATACATGTACTATATAATTCAGCCTTCTGCATAACAAGCAGTCCATAAATATCTGTTGACTAAATGATGGATGATTAATCAATTGATTAAATGAAGTCATTTTCAAAATCAGATACACCACTAATAAATAAAATCACAAGCTGTTATTCTAAATGATTAACTCAGTGGCTATTTCCTAAGCTGAATTAATTACCATCGTCTACAACAACCCTGCATTAGAGATATTAAATATGTGAAAAACATAATACATTTCTAAACTGATCTATTTGCTCATGGCTGGGATTGAGGCAATAGAAACAGAAAAGGTGACAATCATGTTAATGAGACCTGTGCTTCTCGCTATGCTGTGACCAGAAGAATGTAACCCTCAAATTCCCTACTTTGCTTTACTTTTTCTTGTTTTCCATAGCATTTAGCTCCTTCCAACATAGCCTGTAGCTGACTTATGTCAACCAACTGGCCCTTGGAGCTCACAGCTGTATGGTGAAATACAGTTGACCCTTGAAAAATGACAGGGTTAAGGATGCCCACCCACCATGCAGTCAAAACCCAAGTATGACTTACAGTCAGCTTTCTGCATCCGAGGTTCCACATCAACAGATTGAACCAACTGTATATCATATAGTGCTATATTTATTGGGGGGGGAAAGCTTATAAATTCAAACCTGTGTTGTTTGAGAATCAACTGTACCAATTTTCTTCAAATGTCTACATTTGTTTCATATGGTCTCACACGTGGTAATCCAAGAGCCTACTATCAGATTACAGGGTCCAGAAAGAAGCTAATCTAAAAAAAAATGCAGATTTTAGGTAACCACAAATTTAACCTGTATATAATGTGTTTCTGAAAAACCAAAACCAACATTATGTTATGTATCACCTTCAAGAAGACATGTAATCTAGCTTATAGAAAGCAATGATTTAATGTATTCTGCATTGGTCAGAATGAATTTAGAATATTCTGTGTTCAATTCCAGACAACATTATTTTGATGAGACAGAACCAAGATGGAGTGATCTCAAAATAGGCAGTCTGGACAGCAATCTGGACACTGTATCAGGTAAAGAAAAATGGGCCTCAGTGGAAATTTTCACTTCAGAGACTAAAGTGTTAGGATGGGCATGACTGCTGAGACCTCTGGTACTGAGAAGGCAGTACATTCAGTATGTCTTTGTCAGCTCAGGTTGCTATAACAAAATACTGTAGATTGAGTGGCATAAATGACAAATTTATTTCATGTAGTTTTGGAGGCTAGAAGTTCAAGACCAAGGTGCCAGTCTATTTGGTTTCTAGTGAGGGCTCTCTTCCTGGCTTGCAGATGTCTGTCTTCTCGCTCACACGGCCCTTTCTCAGTGCTCACAGTGGAGACAGAGAAAGATCTCTTTCTCCTTCTCTTTGTCTAAGGCCACCAACTCTATCCACCCTATGATGCCACCCTTATCACTTCATTTACTTAATTACCTCCTGAAATCTATATCTCCAAATGCAGTCGCCTTGGGGATTAGGGCTTGAACATACAAATTTGGGGAGAGCACAGTTCAGTCCATAGCATTGTCTATAGTCCTCTAAAGTAAACTTTTTGGGAGACATTTTGTAACTCATTGTAAGAAAACTTTCCAGCTAAAGTTGTTCAACAGTGAAACCAGTTGCTGACCGTTTGAGGCTGTGGCCTTCTATCACTGGAAGCAGTGTCTTAGTTTAAAGAACCCTTCTCTCAGTGATGGGGAGAGGATTCCTGCAATGAATGGCAGTTCAGAAGAATGCTGAGCTCTCTTCAACTCAAAAATTCTACCATGTTTAAACTTTTTAGATGTTGCTATTCTACTTGGTTCACCCCAAATTGTCCTTCTCTCAAAGGATTGAAACCATATGTGGTTATTTTGGCATAAGAAGAAAAGTCTAGTAAAAGGCTTAAGACAACAAAATTTAAACAATTTTGGATTAGGTAAAATTTCACAATTATTGTTTTTGCAAAAAGCAATGAGATGTCCATTAGTCTCATCTAGATTTTTCTTGGGTTTATGATTTTGTGTGGGGTTGGGAGGAAGTGGTTTAAGTAAACTCTTAAACTGCATCCCAAACACTGCTTGTTATCAGTTTCTTAAGAAACTCAAGAGGTTTCCATGAGTAAGATTAGAGGTGTCTAATACATAAGATCATTTCAAACCTAGTCTTTGGTAACCTTTAGGTAGAAAAAGCTAAGGAAAAAAACCCCACTAGATTAAGAAAGAAAAACAAATATTATTTCACTACTTTTCTTCCAGAAATTACATGGCCTCCTACTATGACTGCCAGATGTAGTAAATTTTCAGTAAAAACTTTTAGTTCTGGATGAAGCAGAAATACTTGGCAACCAACACTATTACTTCTGAACTCCATTTTACTGTGAGCTGTATTATAATCAAAGTTTTAAAAATACAGTATTTTACCTTAATATAAAATATGTTTCATATTTTCATAAAAATTACAAGTCAGTGACCATAAGACATAAAATTAGTTATTTGCAATTGATGTCTTACTGTGGAGTAAAATTAATTATACTGTTAAGAATGTTAAGTAAAAAGGATATCAAAAGCTGTATTATGATAAGTAGAGAATAGTTTCCATACAAATTAAGAGCAATGTTCCTAACACACATCAGTCAGGATCCAATAGTGTAAAATATGTTTGATACTGATGGCTTTTCTTATCTTTCCCTTTTAGATCCTTGGACACAGGACAAGGAAGAGATCTCCCAACTAGAACACATTTTATTGATGAATTCTAGTTCACGAGCCTGTGTTCACTTGCAGAGAAGGGTCTCTGTCTTGAACTAAAACACCTACAGTCAGGTAACCTGCAACTTATATGTGAAAATGACCAGGGCACTTTCAAGAATGAAAGGGACATAATTCCACTGGCTTAACTGGCATAAACAGGAATTGTGACAGGCGAACCAGGACATTTGGTGGCCTTATCCATAAGAGACATTGTGATTGATGCTCCAACCTCCATTCCACCCCACATGGTTATTCTAAGATAGAGGTCCTCAAAGTGTGGTCCCAGACCAGCAGTATTATCATCACATGGTAACTTGTTAGAAACATAAATGCCAATCCTGGACCTACTCTGAGAAACTCTGAGGTAGATCAAGATAGCAATGTGTGTTTTCACAAGCCCTCCAGGTGAGCTGAACGCAGGCTAAAGTTTGAGACCCACTGGTGTAAGCCAATCATACTATTCCATTTCCTTCATCAGTGATGGGCTTAGGAATGGGCCTAAAGTCAGTCTGAGCCAGTGAAGTACAAAGAGGGGCAAGTTTGAGATTTCTGAGAAAGATAAATCAGTCTCTCTTTTGTTGGGTGTGAACAAGGGAATATAGCACCTGACTGTGAAAGATAAGGTTGTGAACTGTAGAGCAGAGACATGAAAAGAACCTGGCACTGTTTGGTTGCTGGATCCACCCATCCAGAAGCCCATACCACCTCTGGACTATGTGAAAGAATTAATTTGTGGAAGCCATTTTTGCTTCAGCTGGCTGAAGGCATCCTCACACTCTAGTGCTCATTCCCACTTTTCTTGAACCTACCTTTGCACTCTGACGTCTCTCACAATGCCATCCTCTCTCACATTTCTCCCTTCAGTCCCCACTGCTTTTCACAGTTAGATCCTACCCCTCCTGACTGCTCCACCCCAAATTGTCTCCTCTTCAGAATTCACTCGCTTTCTGAGCCACTGTCCTGTTTTCATCATATACTACCTTCTACTGCTTTCTCTTCAGTCTAAGTGCCTCATCACATCTAAGTCCCTGGCACCTGGCCTTGTCTGCGGCACTCTAGCGATGCTCAGGAAATAGTTCCTGTAGATGGTGATTCCATCGGTCCATGGAGATAGGAGTTGGTCTGCTGCCAGTTACTGCCACTGTTGGCAACTCTTCCACATCACCAGGTCATGGACATTCCTTGGCTATGAACACCACACCAAACCCTGCCTTAATTATATCTCTAGTCCTACTGTGGCCTAAAACTGGAATTAGACAACTTCATGACATCTATTAGCTGGGATCTCCAGGAGCAAAAAGGCACAGGTTACCAGATAAATGCTTGGTCACCCCACAGGACAGGACATTACTGCACTGAGGCAGGTCTGCGTGGTGAGTAGAAATTAGAATTTCCAGATCTTCTATAGCACCCAGACCCCTTATCTGCATTTGCTGTCTTTGGAAATTGAGTATGACCAGTGGGGCTGTGCTTGGTGGCAGGAAGCTAAGGGTGTGAGGAGGTACGTGAGCCAGGGTTTACTCTGGCTTCTGAGAAGATAGTGTAGCTTAGTGTTTGAGGATGCAGATTTTAGAATCAAACTACGTGAATTTGACTCTTGGTGGAGACTGCTGTCTACTTACAATCTTGGGCAAGTTATTTGACTTCTTTGAGTCTCAGTTTCCTCATCTGTAAAATGGGGATCATTTTTTCTGCCATGAGAAATAAGATCATGGTGTAAAATACTTGGCATCATGCCTTACACGTAGTAAGTACTTGATAGTAGTTATTGTTAGGGACTCAACCTCTCTGTCACTCAGCACTGGCTTCCCTCCTCCCTGTGGTCGTGGGAGGTGAAAGGCCTTACACTTCCCTGCTCAAAGGCTGGGCAGGGAATGAATAGCAAAGAGAGGAAACTGGAATCTCAAGGGCAGCTGGAGAGAGCAGGCTTTGCCCTGGCTTTCTGCCTGCCCGGCAGCTGTGGTTTAGCATCTGTATGTAAAAACGACCAATATCCTCCCTAGCAAAACACTCCCCGCCCCCTCCCCCCTCTCCCCATTACAGATAATCACACACAAAGCAAGGAAGTTCTGAGGTTGATGTTAACTCCTTACATCTCCCTAGCGCTTTTCGTTTCAGAAAGCCCTCTCCCTTCGGTTCTCTCATTTGGCCCTCATACCATCCTTGAGCAGTGCCCAGGGGCAGCCTTCATGAGTCCCCTGTTGCCCATTAGGAAAGTGAAATTCAGAGTGATTATGTGACTTGCCAAAGGCTGCGTGGTCAGGAAGTTACAGAGCCAGGACTCAGAGATGTTCTGACTCCCACTTAGTTATCTGCCCATCCCCCTCACAGCCCATCTGCCCTGCACATGGAATGAGGTTTTCCAAAGGAAGGCACAATGTGTAAGTTCTACATAGAAGATAATTTCAGCCAATTGCAGAATAGCAGAAGACTTGTCACCTCCCTCTCCGGGATCCTTTGCTTAATGTTCGAATTTTGTGTATGTTTCCCAGTGAAATGAGGGGACAGGTCTGTCTGTCAGCTAGTTATGCAGAAAGTCTTTATTGTCATGTCTTAACCCTAAGCAGTAACCAAATCCTGTTTAACTTGAGTGTGTGCCCAAAGCTCTACTTATGTTTATTCAAACCAAAGGTGCCATATTAGACTGTATATAATGTTCTTTTCCTTCCCTTCACATTCAAAGAAGGAACCTGAAGTGTTTGGAAAGAGTTGAAGAGCGGGGGTCATAGCAGTGTGAATTCACTGTAAAAAGGAAGATTCTAAACACTTACTTGAAGTAGAGAATCTTAACAGTATGAATTGTGTTAAGCAAGCAACTCTGGCCTAGGACAACTAATTCTTGTGCAGAAGTTTTGTTTTCAAATTGGCCAGGAACTAAAGATGTGGCCATCAATGAAACATCACTCTGTCTGAGTCATCCATGCTCACTAGCTGTATGTAAGTGGTAGAAAGAGCCTGGGCTTCAGTGACTTACAGACCTGGCTTAGAATCCTGGCTCTGACATTTACCAGATCTGTCACCTTGAGTGAGTTCCCCAGCCTCTCTGGGCTTTGAGTTCATCTGTAAAATGGGAGACTAGTACCAACTTTCCAGATTGATTTTATTTCAGTCGACACCACCACACAATGTGAGAGTTGTGGGTTTTTTATTTGGGACAAAATAAGGACTATAGCCTGGGAGACAGCATCCCAGAAAACTCTGAGAAACTGTTCCAAGGAGGCAGGGGGAACACTCAGTATTATGTATGATTTCAGTGAAGGGGAGGTATGTGCAGTCAAGCACACATTTAGG